CAGCGATGGAGGCTCTTGGAAGCAACACCAGCTGCACGCCCTCGCAATAGGAAGCCCGACGAACGTATACGCTCACTTTTCGGGCCAATGGAGCCATTAGAAACATATCGGTTACCATCGTGGACGCAATGGCATTATGCCCATAATCCGCCTTGTGTGTTCGCTCTCGTAACATTTGATCGCCCAGGAGCATTCCCCACCTTGTCAATAGCGGCGGCAGAGACGTGTGCGGCTGTGGCGATCGGCCGCCTGTCTCCTCCTCCTCCTCCTTTTCCTCATTCTCATTCCCGTCCACATCCTTCTCCATCATACTCTCCCCCAATGAAAGATTATACCTCGTGACAAATGTGGCCTTGGAAAGAGACTCACTACTGAGACCACGCCCACGGGATGGGAATCGCACCGCTTCGAGCAATTTTCCCACAGTCACCATATCGGTGTTGTTGAACTTTGTACAGCGGACAATATCAATAATGGGCAGCAGGACACCAAAAGCAAATATACCAAACTCTCCAGTGTTCTCCGTTGCGGCGTTCCAACGCTCCAACACCTCTTGCAAAATAAAAAGAAATACCTGGGCACCACGCTTGTGGTGTTGTGCATGCACGGATACATAAGCTGCATTTGAGACAAGTTGTTTTTGGTATTCGTTGTGGGGCAAAAACGTCATATCCACTATCTCTCGCACCCTCTCTGACAACCACCTCTCATCCTCCTGACCACTAAGATACGGAAGAACCCAGTCCATGGGCGCAACCTTCCTTTTATCGGCGTATATGCGAGCTTTACCAGGGGAAACCTCATCCGTTGAGGAGCCATCGAATGATCCACGATGAGACTTCAGGCCCGTCGCCTCAACGCCCCCAGGCGATGTCCTCTCTTCGGTTGCCAAATTCTGTGGAGCCAACGCACAGGCGGCAGGTGACAAGGAATCTGCCGACTGGCCAGAAGGAATAACAGCGCTCGTGGTCAACATGGCATGCAGGGCCTTCTGAAAAAGCGCCGTACGCAACGTGTGGCACGATAATTGACCCCACCACAGCTGCATCCGAAAAAAGCGAATGGTTTCGGTGGCCGTGGCGACAATGACACGGGCAAGCTGTGCGTCGTCAGCGTCTGTCTGAGAGAATGGTGGCACTCTGAAAGGTTTGCCCAAATTCTCACCCTCCCTGCAGCACAGCAAAGGCCACGCCAATTGACAGAGGCGATCAAGCGGCACACTCATGATGTCGCCGATGGGGCAATCCATCTCCTCCACGGCGGTAAACTTGTGTCGGCGATGGCCCTGCTGCGGGCGCCCCACCCCCTCCAGAGACAACTGTTCTGCAAGCATGTGCGGCACAAGAGACACAGGCGGAATTGGCACTCGCCCCCACCCCCACTTTTACTGACGCGCACTTCCTCCTGTGCAAAACACTCTTTCCTTTTGCTTTTGTTCCCACCGACTTCTTTGCTCCACCAGCAACCCCTTTTTTTTGCCTTTGTTTTTTTTTGTGTGTGTGGTTGTGTGTGTGTGTGTGTGTGTGTTGCTGGTTTGTTTTGCTGTTCTTTTGTATTCCTGACTTCCCCCTCGCACGTCTCCTTGTCCTTCACCACTCAACCGCCGCAGTTGCCGAGCGCCGCTGAATCGAATTGACTCGTCCCTCGTCGGAGAGACGCACGCACAAAAGTCAAAATATTTAAAATGTATCTATATATATATCCTCGGCCAAAAAACCCACTGCCGCAAAACAGAAAGAAGAAAAGAAAAGAATATTCACACAGAGTTTTTTTCTTTTCTTTTTTTTTTTTTTTACGTCCTGTTTGTTGTTGTTGCGTGTATTTGTACTTCTTTTGTTGTTGTTGTTGTTCTTTTCCTGTTGGTGTTGTGTTTTTGCCTCTCCCCTTTTCCCTTTTTTTTTTTTTTTGCCCCCTTTTTTTGGGTTCCTTGACGCCCGCAGGGGACATGTGTGCGTGCGGCACGTGTGCGGCACGTGTGTAAATAAAGAAGAAGAAAGAAAGAAGATGAAATGCAAAAAAAAAAAAAAAAAAAAACACGCCGCACGGGACGACGTAATCCTCCGTTGGGTTCCGCCCACAAAACCTGCACATATGCACGGAAGCCTGAGCATCAAAAAAAGGATAAGAGAAAAAAAAAAAAAAAAAAAACAGCGTCAATTCACTGGCACACACACACACACACGCTCCTCTGTTTACATAAATTCACACCAGAGCACCTCCCTTTTCCCCTTTTCCCCTTTTCCCCTTTTCTCTCCGTATCGCTGAGGAAAAAATGACTCACGCACGGTGCCAACGCCGTGGCGTTCCACAAACGCAAACGCGGACGCAGAAAAGAGCGACGACGCGCCATGAAATCAATTACGTCACATTTTCCTCCTACCGCCAACAACAAAAAAAAAAAAGCCTCACTGAGGCGTCTTTCCATCCCCGCCGCGGCAACCATCACATTAGAGGCGTGTGGTTCGGTTACAAATAATTGCAACTGCTCCCAGAGACCGTTGGAGTTAAAAAGGGGAAGAATAAAAAAGTCCGGCGCAACAAAAAAAAAAATACAGGACGCGGAGTCACAAATGTTGCGTTCATCCCACCGCCGCCACCACCACCACGACCAACAACACCACGGATGAAAGACGCTCGTGACGGTCCATCACAACCGCACCGCACCGTTTCCCCTTCTTTGCGCACATGTATGTGCCGGCGCATGTTGCCCCCCTCACTTCCCACAGCCATGAAGAGGAGTAAGAAGTCGTCAGGGCCGTCGCCGCCAGAAAAGCAGGCAGACACACACAATAATAATAATAAAAGGAAAAAAGCCAAACCGCTGAAAGTTCAAAAGCAAAAAAAGAGGGACGACGACCAAACAAATTTGACGCAAACGTACAAGTACCCAGAAGGCAAAAGCGATCAGTGATAGAAATGCAAGTGAAAAAACTACAAAAGAAAAAAAAAAAAAAAGTCCCAACACACAGACGAAGATGAAGTGTACAAATTCCCCTGACATCAAATGAGCCATCATCATCATCATCATCATCATCATCATCATCATCATCATCATCATCATCATCATCGTTCACCTTCATCGAGCCTCGCTTTGGACGGGCTGGACTCATGTTGTCCCTTCGCCTAGCAGAGAGAGTTGACGAAGAGCCTTATTGCCGGTCAGCAAAGCAGTGCACCCGTAACTCACCACGTTTCGTGGGTGCGCGGCCTCCCACGTTTTGAGGTCATCGTACTCCGCGACGCAACCACCGCCGATGGTAAAAACAATCACCTGCGAAAAGTGTGTATCCGCCAAATCAAGTGGTTTCTTTGTCCGTGGGTCGTACCCAACGACAGTCTCCAGCAGTTTTGCGCGAAGCGTACTGCCCCCACCCATGGTTCGGGTAGTGGTGCCACCTTTCGGGGATGCCGTCGGATCCTGCAAGAGCGCATCCACAAGTTTCGTAAGCGGCAACTCCGACTTTGCGTTGGCACCAAGCGTGTTGGCAATGTTTTTGGCTAACGTCTGAGCCAAACCCCAAGCAAAGCCCTGCGCAGCACTTGACTCTTCCGTGGTTGAACTTACTGCATTCAACGACCAATTTCGTAGGTGCTTGATGTACGCCAGGGCAGGAAAGGGCGCTTCTTCAAATGCCGAAGCGCATCTTTGCAGCAGCGACTCATACTCCCCCTCTGTGTCTAGCAAGTATGCAATCAGGTACAGCCTTTGACGGTCCTCAACAGTACCTAAGCCTGTTAAGAGAAGTTTTTCAAACTCCTCCTTGTCAAGACCTTCACGTTTAATGATTCCCAATTCAACACCGTGAAACCGGTCGAGGTGACTCTTGCGAATGTGGTGCAAAAAACTGTAGGCCATTTTAGTGTGAGCATCTAACATTCGCTTCTTCTC